AATCTGGGAAAACTTTATTTTTGTTTATTCCTACTTTTCTGTGAAGGAAAATGAATCTTCCATAGAAAAAGCAATAACCCCTTTGAAGTCTATCAGCAACCATCAGTAGGCTGATATTAGTCAGCAATACACAGCAGTGATTCAGCAGATCGAGCCGTGCATCTTTAGTTTGCTAGGAGGCAAAACAAATTAAAATTTCCACTATATCTAATAAGCTAATCATGAGAAGAGGTTTACAAATTTTCCATCCCTAATGTGTAAGCATTCAGTTTCCATCTAAACTGAAATGCACAGATATCCTCACAGAGGCTATTAGTACATGTAAATGTTTATTTTGACAGCCTAACATTATTTAATTTATAAATGCAGAGATTTTTCCTGGCTCACAACGAGCCTTTGACAGGTGACTACACACATAAGCACGACTGGCCCGTGTGGAGGACGCTCTATCTGATATTTACACTTACACATCTGCTGTTTTCTGGAGGCATTTTGTTTGTTTGTTTGTTTGCTTTTAATGTATTTTAAGCTAAAGTAAATGAAATCCCCAATTTAGAAAAAAAAAGGATAAAATAGTTCTGTTTTTTTTTTTATTATATACAAGAAAAAACTGTTTACTTTAAAGAGGCCAATGCATTTTTCTCTGTTTTGCCTATTTGTTTTTGTTTTTTTAACAGTTTTATGCTCAAGCAAATTAAACACATTTCAAAATATCTATTTTAAAAGATATTATGGGCATCAGTTTAGCTCACTGGTTGAGTAGGTGACCATTTTACTATCATCCTGGTAAAATTCATCTCGGGAAAAAGCTCAAATTCGATACAAAAAAAATTCAAATTAAGTGCGCATGTTAGACATGGATGAATGCTTGAAGCCATGATGAGTTTTTATAGAGTGATACCAAATGCAAGCATGGCACAAAACTAGCTTTGAATCATTTTGAGGCTGAGAAAGCCCAAACACAATGACTGTCATGCTTGAGTAAATTCAACCCCACTGTGTGTGTGTGTGTGTGTGCAGTGCTTCTTCATGCATGGACAGCTTTACACCAAATGTCACTTACATGTGCAGCTCTCTGTACACTGCATTCTGCAGCTTTCTTTCCCAGCCTGGAAAACATTGGAATTTATTATTATATGTTATAATATTATTATCACTAAACAGACAAGAGACAACAGCTTAATTATGACTTTGTGAGAAGAGATTTCTTGCAGCTTGCTACCTGATGTTTTGAGAAAACTGCGGACGTCCTCTTTTAGAGACTCCAGTTTTACGTCAGGCTGGTGTAAACACTCCTGAAAACAATGGGGACATGGGGAAATCAATGCTTCACATTCTTAGACATTATGTGGCCTGGATGCTGTGGTTTTAGCTAAAGGTGAGCTAGAAGCAGAAGCACCGTGTCGTTAGCCACATGCTAGCTCACTCACTTTGGCTTGCCTCTCTATCTGAGAGTGTAAATGGCTTCCTCTGAGCCGCTGGATGATCTGAGCGATGGTCAGAGACAGCTCGATGCCCTCGTCCATCCTCCTTCTGGTCAAAGCCCGTTCAGTTATGCGTCTGAAGCCGAGCGGCTCGCTTCACTGCGGCTAAACTGTCAGCATCCAGCAGCCGCCCCCTGCAGAGGTTACTTAGCAACTGAGGACGGGCTGCGTGTCTGCAGGGGAAACAAGAACCACACACTTTAGTTCCGACCTCAGAAAATCATTCCGAGGGTACCTTTGCTTTCTTTTTTCTTTTTATCGCCTCTCCTTTTTAGAACACATTATGGAGGCTTGTTTCTGAAAAACTCCTTTTTTCCCATCCAAATGTCAAAATTTCTAGTTAATATCTCTATATTTTGGCTTGATAACTCGAAACTTATATTTTATTGTACTATCAAAAATATTGATTTAAGTATAGAGAGAGAAATGTGAGATATTATCCAGATATTGAGCTTCTAAACACAAACAAACCTTAGAAGAGCGCCAACTCTAATGATTAAATGTAATAATAATAATAATAATAATAATAATAATAATAATAATAATAATAATAATA